CGTTCGTCCACTAGGGTGAACGCCAGTACTCGTAGACGAAGTCTCTCTCCTACCACGAATCGAACACCGAGCTTGCGCTCCTTTACGTGGCAACTGTAGTAGACGTCGCAAGGCTTTACGCTTACTTTTCCTTGCCCCGTCCATTGCATTTCTTGGATGGCGGTGATGTCAGCCTTTGTCTTCCCGAGGACATCAACCAGCCGGGCAGAGGCACCTTCCCCATTAAGGGTCCGGATATTCCAGGTGCATACTTTGAAATCATATTCCTTTATACGTTTGCCGTGGTCATCATCAAAAAAGGGGGTCTCATCCGAGGATGTTTGGTCATTTTCATTGGGCGGGGATTTTAACGTCGCGGGACCCAAACCCAGCGCATGCGAAGTTTTACGCCTTCTCACTTTAGCTCGCTCCCAAACGGTTGCTACCCAGAAGATACGTGGATATAAATATCCGGACGTTGTGAGCTCCGATTTGAACCATACGCGCAAGAATCGCTTCTGGCCACAACCAGGTGAATGGTAGTAAAAAGTTTTCCATTTCTGCGCACGGAACCATCCTTCGCTGTCTTATATCCCGCATTTCCATCTATTCCCTTGTGACCTGGTACCATTGCTGACCAATGGACTTAAGTTTCTCATTGAGTCAAGGACTAATGGTGATTTGATGTCAAATGTTAAGACAGCCTAGAGCACCGCCTGGCTATCATTTAGAATTGAGATTTTCTCATTCTGTTACCACCTAACACTGTGGCCTTGCACCCTTATAAATCTGACTAGGAAATACCCAGACGTAACAAAAAAAGAGGGCAGCAATTCTGCTAATCCATCGGGTAGTCTTTTAAATTAACGATATGAAAATATGCTGTAAAATCTTGTCAATAGAGAAAAATTCCGTTACCATTAGGAATATTAATCCCGGGACCCCGGACATTTTAGGTTCCGAAAATCCCGGGCTTCTTAGAAAGTAATTGCGGGATTTTCGGGATTCGTAATTTGCACTGATGGCAATAATAGAAACTCCTTTTCTTGACCACTGTTGGCTATATTTCTTTTTTTGTATTTAATGATAAATATTTTTTCCGGGATCGTAAAAAGCGAAAAATTTAACATCCCTATTTACCATCCTTTGGTAGTATATTTGCTCATAGTAAAAAATATATACATACATATATAGATATGGAAATATAATACTAAATACTTTTTGGTACAACGACTTTGTGTGCCTTTTTTTTTATAAAATGTACTTCATTGCTTAGGCCGAACAGGCGATGTAGCTAATATTTTGAGGAGTACATCCTTGCGTGCGTTCATCGAAGTAATAGCCAACGTCGCATTCGCCCCTACTAGCTGTTTTACCATTTCTGCAACGTGCATAGGCCCTACAATCGCCAGCCACATTAACATATTTGTTACTCATGGATTCACAGCGATCCAAAGAGCACTTCACATTCAAGCGGTCGCGACATGACCAAGTGCCACTGTCAAAGAAGTAACCATCCTGACATTTGAGATGCGTGGGCTTGCGATCGGGTGTTCCATCAGCTTGTTTCGTACAAATGTAATAAGCACTGCATGAATCCTCGTCAGCTATGTAGCCGACGCGTGCATTCTGCACGCTGGTACCACAAACATCGATTTCCGGTTCCAGTTGCGGAGCCAAAGGATGGCAAACGGCGCCGCTGCGTGTTACGCACTGCAGTGTTGTATGGTTGAAGGCTTGACCCTCAGCGCACTGTAACGATTTCAGCTTGGCGCCTTCGACACATTGGTGATACTTCGTACAGTCGGTTATGTCGGCGAAGATCGTGCCAGTTGCTACTGATTGACAAATCGGACTGACTGTTACATTTTCACTTACTGCCTTGGGACATTCATAGTCACTAGGATAGACACAGGCAGATTTAGTGGGGTGGAATATCAAATCCTTGGGACAAGTAGAGCGCGTTTCTTCGCCTTTTGCACAGAAGATATAACCATTGCACCTGTCTGGATCTGCCAAGAAAATACCATCTTTCTTTGAAGCACAACGGTTGGTGTCACTTTGTGTTTGGGAGCTTTCGAAAGGACAAATGACATCCTCCATTGTTTCACATCGATTTGTATCCTTGTTAAAATACAAACCGTACGCACAGAAACCGTCTTCGTAGTCCTGTGCAGCGGTTGAGGATGGACACTGGACCCAATTGTTGCATGAGTTCGGCCGTAAAATATAGGTGCCGCCAGGCAGCTGACTACAAATCTCCTCTACTGACAAACTTTTGCTATTCGCTTGTACTACTGCAATTGCAGCGGAGGCCAGTATTATTAAAGCGGTTGCTACATGAAAATAAATGGATATAAGAGTATTAAAAATGTGATTATGCGAATGCGTTCTGACTGGAAATTTTTTGAACTCACTTCTCAACATAACTTAGCAGTATTTAAACCAGGTATTCAAGAAATTATGCTGTCCTATAAGTTGTTGATGTTTAAGTTTCCGTTTGATCAGCAGGTGGGTTAACACGCTTGCCGTAAGAAAGACTGCACTGCCGTAAACTTTTGCTGTGGGAAGCTCTTAAATATGCAAACTGACTGGCGTTATCTTTGTCAAAAATCAGCTGTAGTTACATACATTTCTCTGATATTAGTTATTAATTTTTGATACCGAGAAATTCGAAATCATTTGGCGGCAAGTGCTTACACAACAGAAGCCACAAATCTTGATAAGGGTTTTGCGTGTTGAGGGACATATGTAGAAGCAAGATGAAGGTCTTTGAAACTTACTCACTTCACATGAATGCGCATGACTTAGTTACACAGCAACGAAATAAACAACCTTCAGTTGATTGAATCTTGAATCTTTATGAGCATTTGTTCCGTAATACATACAGTTGTCCACGAAATAATAGGAGCTCAATCTTTTCACCAGTTTCGAAAACTTTTATTTTGTTTATTTAATGTTTATCATTTTGTTTAATCGAGCTGGTTATACAAGAAACCCCACATAAAATAACATTTCAAACTTTGTACAAAAATTATAAAAGTTCGGGAAAGTTTCACCAAAATTTCAAACTTTTCAATCAGAAACTTTAGAAAAAGTATGCGGTTTTGTAGCAAATTAAGTTGTAGTATAAGAAAGTATAAAAGTCAAGCTGCTAAAAGATCCCGAGGATTTTTTGCAATTTTTTTTACAGGCGCTGTTAAACAAAATTCTTGATACATCTTGTATGGAAAAAAGGCGAAACATCTTCAACCAAAAAAATCTCAAAAAACAAAGTAATGATTGAAACTTGTACTGTCAGCCGGGTCAAGTTGACATTCAAGGTTACAATAATACGCATAAAGCTGAAAATTTATACGTTGGATATACCATTATAAATGAAATGTCAAGAGTCCCCATCGATCTAACTTCTGCAAAAAAATTTATTCAAGGTCAAATGTCACATAAAGTTTTTTTTTTGCATTTTTCAGCAAAATGGTAAGGTTTATCACAAAGAAGGGTGAGACAAAAGTGTAGATTATGCAATTATCTATAAAAACTGTTATACCCTTTTTCTTCCTAAGAATTACCGCTTCTGAGATACAGCGATTCAAAAAACTGTGTTCTTCATAATGTCCACAATTTCCACTGTACTTGTGGGGTCGTGTTTTTGTGGTGTTGCTTTGCGGCGCCTTAAAACATTTCGAACTGTAAAACAATCCACCTCCACCTCCAATCCACTGGTACACCTATAAGAAAAAAGCATCCTATATGTTAATTCAGGCAGTAAGCTGTCTACGCGCCAAATTTCAAACAAAACGGAACATATTAGAAGAAAAAATGGATGCTTTATGTCAACCTAGGAAAAGGCTACCTACGTACTAAATTTCAAGCAAATCGGACGATAAATAAAACTTTTTCGAATAGATCAGTCCCTGGTCCACTTCTCGGAAAAAAGGATCCTATATGCTAATCTAGGTAAAACGCTACCTACGTACCAAATTTTAGGCAAATCGGACCATAATAAGATTTTTTCGAATAGATCAATCCCTGGTCCACCTACCGGAAAAAGTAAATTTTTTTTGCCTAAAACATGGTGGTGGTAATTTCATGAAAATCGGACCAGCCGTTCGCGAGATTAGAAAAAGGGACTTCCATTTATATAAATAGTACAGATAGATAATAAACCATAAACAAGCAAAAGAACTCCTATTATTTTGTGGACGACTGTATGTATGTATGTGCATATATAAATATACAATAATCGGATATCAAGTCACATATGAGTGCACGTAACACATATGATATATGTCTACAAGTCAATTAATGACTGAACGGATGCTTCAGAAATTGTTCTGCGTAAATGTATCTACAACCTGTAAATAAGTGTAAGTTCATGAACTGAATTATTCTAAATATTTAAGTGATCTAAAGTATAAATACTTACATATGGACAAATATATGCATAACTTGCCTGCTCATGTGAAGTAAATAACTGTTATGTAATCAAGAATCCATATGTAAGATTACGTTGACTGCTTGCCATATTTGGTGATAAAAATGAACAACCCTATTAAAAAACATAGGCAATAATAGCAACTAAAAACTTTTACATATACATGTGCATGTACAGATGTAAGATCGCTAATCGAGGCCTTTCGATTAGATTTTTTGTCTGTGTTTTAGTTCCGATTCGATCCATGTTGATCTAAGGTATACTCAGAAACACGAAAAAAACTGGTCGCACATAACCAAGCATAGCTCGGTTAATCATAACATTAAAATAAAAATCGGTAGACACTTAAAAATCTGGAAGCATTTTCCACTTTACTGCATCATTTCTTTTTAGTAACAAAAATCAGTGTAGAAACGAGGACCAAGAAAGAAATCGATCGCGAGTTAATATTGCGCAAAAAGCTGGAAAATCCCAGCATGTTCCATAACGACATCGCAAAAAAGCTAATATTTCCAAAGTCATCCGTTACTTATGTGCTTAAAAAATACAATGAATGTTTATCTTTAAAAAGGAACCCTGGTAGTGGCAGAAAAAAAGGATTTGCTTGCGAAATTAAGGCAAAGGAAGTGTTACCTGCTTTTAAGAAAAATCCTGGACTTTCGGTAAGAGATGTCGGCAAAAAATTAAACATGTCGTCTTCGTATATACAAAAAGTATGCAAAACAGCAGGACTACGTTCTTACAAAGTGAATGCAGCACCTAATCGCAACGGTAAGCAAAATTTGTTGGCGAAACAACGTGCTCGGAAATTGTACGACAGTCTCATACAAAAATTTGGCTGTATTGTTATGGATGACGAATCGTACGTAAAAGCCGATTTTAAACAAATCCGGGGCCGCGAATTTCACTCTGCAAATAAAAGAGGCAATGTTGCAGATAAATATAAAAACAAAAAGTTTGACAAATTTCCCAAAAAGTTTCTCATTTGGCAGGCAATTTGCCAATGCGGCTTCAAAAGTGATCCTTTTGTAAGCACTGGTACAATTAACCAAGAAATTTCTCTCTATTGCAGTGGGGCTCCCTATTTCCCTGCTACCGCCAGCTGATTGCGAGTTGAATTCTTTCACAGCTGGAACTTCGGTTCCTATTGGAAGGACATGTCAAAGTCAGCGGAGCTGCTGCAATTTCATTCCGCGCACTATGTACATTTCGTTGTAAATCTCATACAACTCATCGTTCCATCGTCTACGGTAATCCGCATCGCCCCCGCGTAGAAGCCTGTAAATCTTCCGTAAGATCTCCGCTTTACGTTTGTACATGTCCATAAATAAATAATAATAAATCAAACATATTTGACAAAGGACTAATTTTTCATTGGTTTATTGTTTTTATCAAATTTTCAAATAGGTGGCAACTCTCCTCAAAAATATTTCCAACAGTCATCCCTCTTAAACCTCCTTAATTTAATACCTATATTTTAATAAGTCATTTATTTTATCAATTATGCAAATTGTGTTAAATTTTCAAACAGATGGCAACCCTTCTCAAATATAATTTCAGCCGTAAACCTTAATAAGAATCTAAAGCTTCTTGCCGACATTGCAATATTTCATTTATTTTATCAATTTAACTGAGTTAAAATTTCGAAAAGGTGGCAGACCTCCTCAAAAATATTTCCTACAGTCATCTTTCAATTGTAATATGTCATTTATTTTATCAATTCAATTTAGTTAGATTTTCAACCAGGTGGTAACCCTCCTCAAACATATTTTCTGCTGTAAGCCTTCTTAAAAAACTTTAGTTTCTACACCCACATGGCAACACTTCATTTATTTTATCAATTTAATTGAGATAAAATTTTGAAATAGGTGACAACCCACCTAAAAAATATTTCCAACAGTTATCTTCCTGAAACCTATTTAATTGTATACTCAATTTGTAATATTGCATTTATTTATCAACTTAACTGAGGTAAAATTTTTAAATTGGTGGAAACCCTCTTCAAAAATATCTCCAATAGTCATATTTCTTAAACCTCTTTAATTTGATACCTATATAATAAGTTATTTAATTTATCAATTAAATTACGCAAATTTTTTTAACAGGTGGCAACCCTCCTTTAAAATATTTTCGACTATAAGCCTTCTTAAAACCCTTTAGTTTGATACCCGCATAACAATATATCCCTTTCTCAAAAATATTTCCAGCAGTTATCTTTCTTAAACCTCTTTAGTTAGATACCCGTACTGTAATAATTCATTTATTTGATCAATATAATTGGGTTTAAAAATTTTCAAATAGGTGGCAACCCTCAAATTTTTTGCGATATCATTGGTTATGGTATTATGCCGAAAAAAAATATTCCAATCGGTTCAGCCGTTCTCGAGTTTTGACGACCGTCACATACGAACACAACATTTTTATATATATCTAAGATAGATAGATAGATATATAGATTGACTTCAAATTCAGTTTTTTCAAACAACCCTTAAAGTGCCCGCCCTACTTCGTTTATAAATATTCAGACTATACAACATAAAAACTATCGCTCTCAGCATGTTCAGGAGCAATATCGTAAGCGCCATTTCACCTTTAGACAATAAGATATGCAAAAAATAAATAATCCCATAAGGAAGCTAGCATTCAATAATGTGTTGTTGTCCATTTAAATCCAAATAAATTTTATTACTGTTTAACAGAGAATTAAAAAAAAAAAACAAACTCCTGTAAAATTTACCGTTTGTCGCTTACGATAAAATCGCAAACAGGGGTCGATATATCGATATTTTTGTTCGGAAGAGACAATTTTTTTCCAAAGTTCATAGTTGACCCCGTTCTAGATTTGGCCACTAGTTCTCAGTTCTTATTACCCTAACGTACCACCCTATGCAGATTTTTTAANCCTGTAAAATTTACCGTTTGTCGCTTACGATAAAATCGCAAACAGGGGTCGATATATCGATATTTTTGTTCGGAAGAGACAATTTTTTTCCAAAGTTCATAGTTGACCCCGTTCTAGATTTGGCCACTAGTTCTCAGTTCTTATTACCCTAACGTACCACCCTATGCAGATTTTTTAAGCTTAAACTGTTTTGTCATCTGAGGGCATTTTTTGTTTCAAAAAATTCTTTAAGAANCTGTTAACTTACTGTTTTGTCATCTGAGGGCATTTTTTGTTTCAAAAAATTCTTTAAGAAACTAATTTATGGAGGTATGTATTTTCAAGTCAGTCCAGCTCACGTACATTGTAATATTTTTCCGAAATATTTCGGTGGACGTCTTCAAATATAATAGATTATTTGAACCCGGCGGAAAACCCGCAAATTTTTTTGGTGTTGCAGTGTAATGTACATATTTAACTCTTAAATATCCTTCAAATTAATCAATTAATAGTTTTTAAGCAAAGCATTTCTTGTTTATTCAATATCAGTTAATTTTCTTTTAGTTTTTTTTTTTTTTATGCAGTAGCAGTAGCATNATAAAATCGCAAACAGGGGTCGTTATATCGATATTTTTGTTCGGAAGAGACAATTTTTTTCCAAAGTTCATAGTTGACCCCGTTCTAGATTTGGCCACTAGTTCTCAGTTCTTATTACCCTAACGTACCACCCTATGCAGATTTTTTAAGCTTAAACTGTTTTGTCATCTGAGGGCATTTTTTGTTTCAAAAAATTCTTTAAGAAACTAATTTATGGAGGTATGTATTTTCAAGTCAGTCCAGCTCACGTACATTGTAATATTTTTCCGAAATATTTCGGTGGACGTCTTCAAATATAATAGATTATTTGAACCCGGCGGAAAACCCGCAAATTTTTTTGGTGTTGCAGTGTAATGTACATATTTAACTCTTAAATATCCTTCAAATTAATCAATTAATAGTTTTTAAGCAAAGCATTTCTTGTTTATTCAATATCAGTTAATTTTCTTTTAGTTTTTTTTTTTTTTATGCAGTAGCAGTAGCATTAGCAGGAGCAGTAGCATTACAAATTGGATAGGTAGGTTTCACTGGAACGCAACCTGCATTGATTTCATCAAAATATGGGAAATTTGCGTTCGGGCATGCAGAAGCTGTAGTAGAAGTTTGCTGTTGATTATTGCACACGTAATATTCTTTGCATTCTGAGTAAGCTTTAGTTACAAATTGTAGGTTAATATTTCCACAACGATTAAATGTGCAAGAACAACTCGCAGGGCTGACACACTTTTCGATAGTCCCATTGAAATGTGTGGCAAATTCGCAACTTCTCCAAAGGCCCGATCCTGTTTCGCTCGAGCAGGTATAATAACCATAGCATGTAGAATTATCCGAAAAGTACTGAACTCCCCCTTTAGTTGAATTATATGAAGCACAAGCTGCTGTACTAGGTGCAGGTGTAGTCGCCGTATCGGTATTTGTTGCGCTGCAAGGGTTAGTTGATTGACAGTTTCCTGTTAACTGGTTATAGAAACCTGTGGAACAAGATGCAGCGGTGCCCGTACCATCCAGGCATCGAATGAACTGGCCACAGCTATTAGGTGCGCCAACAAACGCATTATTTTTCACCAGACGGCAAACGGAATCGGTGGGACATTGGTAGCCATATTCACATGCCCGGGTACTAGGGTTATAAAGCTGATCCGCGGGACAACTTTTGCACCCAGTTACTACATTATTAATGCAAGTGCAGTATTGATTACAATTGCTGGGATTAGCAATGATACCGGGATCAGCTAAGTTCGCACATGTATCATTTACACTGGTGCTGCATTGAACTTGAGATGCGTAGTTACATATAGCTTTATATGAGTCGTAGAGGTAACCTGTGGGGCAGGTCCCATTCGCCACGAGTATGCCGCCGGAGCAGTAGCCCCAAGCTTGGCAATTATCAGGGTTAGCAATATAGCCTTGGGAATAGTAAGCGCAAGTTTCATTCATCGTGTAAACGGCATCCACTGATCCGTCGTTTACGACTAATAGTCCTAGCAATGAGAGCAGCAATTTCGCCATACCAGCATTCGCAAGCAAACCTGTAGAAGTACGAAAGAAAGTTGCTTTTAACTAGCAAGTAAATTCCTAAAATAGAACTTCTGTGGATTTGGATTTGCTTCATTGAAATTGAAGAAATCCAATTTCATAGTAATCCAGTATTTTCCTGTACAGTGATCATTAAGTGGTTCGGTTTGTTCTAAAAATCGAAATAACTTCATACTTTCCCTTACTATCCATAGATATAACATTTATTATTTTACCTTTCATTTTGAATGCCCTTTTTTCTTTTGATCCTTCGTCCTTTTTTGTGATCGCTTCAGCGATTTGGTTGTTGTGGCACAATCGCAGCTACGTCTGTGTATGTTACGAAATGTGATGGCGCATTTATAGCGCCGACTATTTTGCCGGTTGCCGATATGAAATCTTTTAGCAACGCATTATTTAATTTAACCGTGTTTTCTTCTCCGATAAGCCGTGCGTTTAGACCAAAAGGAACAAATTAATTTTTCCTGTTTATGTATCTCATTTCCTGTAGTTGTACTTTTGCGACAAGTATGCTGAACAAGATACGAGTACTTACATACAGACAGAGATCCTAAGCGTGGAATACGCGGTAATTAGGTAAAATTGATATTACGCGAAGCGCTGTAGCCGTAGTATAAATACATATGTACATTACATTAGGGTGGTAAAAAAGAAAAGAAGTAAGGTCGGAATTTTGCTGCTTTTTTTAATTTTGCCATATATCTAGGGGTCGTTCAAAGTTGTCCATGTATTTTATATGGGGAAAACATTTTTTTTGCAGAAATGGTATAAAATTCTTGAAATTCAATATTTTTCGATCGGAAAACTTTTTTTTTCTTCAGGAGACTTCCAATAACAATACCCAATTATTTATTTAACCATTTTCTATTATTAACTATTTTTATAGGACCTGCAAAAACCTCAAAAAGTGCAATGGGGCACCCAAAAAAACGCTAGTATTAAAAAACGTAGTGGATATTCGTCCGGAACTTCCGGTCGTATAATTTTTTTGTATTGGTCCGGAAATTCCGGATGATTAGGGACAGCCATTAAAAAAAGGTATAATGAACCATTAGGTATTATTGCACTGTAAATAACTACAAACCTAAAACTATAGACCGGAAAAAAAATTCAAATTAGCACTCAAGCGACTTAAAATAACTTCTGAATTGGGCAAATTTTCCCAATGACAAAAAAAAAAATCCGGACGAATAACTAATCAATAATATTCCGGATGTTCCGTAACAATAAGAAATAAGTATTCGTCCGGAAGTTCCGGATGATTAGGGACAGCCATTAAAAAAAGGTATAATGAACAATTAGGTATTATTGCACTGTAAATAACTAAAAACCTAAAACTATAGACGTAGTTGCTCTAATTTAAATGGTATATAACTTTTTTTGTGCAAACTTATAATACAGGTCCTATAAGGAGTCAAAGTTCAAGTCTTCGTAAAATTAAATTCCTTGTATTGCAAACAATTTTGAACTGATTTTTAAAAAATGTATATTATTATAATGGTGATTAAACCCTCTTTCTTCCGATATTCATATTTGTATACTTCATATATAAAAAGTTTAGAAAAAATACATTTAAATGAATAAATTTTTTTTTTTATAAAAAAAAATATTTTAAACAAAAAAATTGCATACAGTTTCTTAAAAAATTGGTGTTGTTGTAAAAACGATTAAATCCCCTTTCTTCTGATATGCATATTTGTATTCTTCGTTTATAAGAATTCGAGAAAAAACACATTTAAAGAAAAATTACTTTTTTTGTAAAATATTTCTAACCGATTTTTAAAAAATTGGTATCGCTGTAAAGGCGATTAAACCCCCTTTGTATATTTCGTATGTAAAAATTTGAGAAAACCTACATTTAAATGAAAAAATAACTTTGTTTTACGAAACGAATATTTTAAACAAGCAAATTACCAACCGATTTTTAAACAATTTATAAAAGTTTTTAGAAAAACACTTAAAAGAAAAAAATACCAATTTTTTATACCCGAGCGCACAAGGGTATATTAATTCTGTTCACATAACGGTTGTTTGTAACAGCCAAAACGAATCGAGATAGATATAGACAAATGTATACATATATGCTCAGAATGAATAGAGAAATCGATTAAGCCATGTCTGTCTGTCCGTCCGTCCGTCCGTCTATCCGTCTGTCCGTCCACCCGTGTACACGATAACTCGAGCAAAAATTGAGATATCTCAACGAAATTTGGTATGTAGGTTTCCCTTAATCCAAGGTAGGTTGGTATTGAAAATGGGCGAAATCG